TAGAGAATATTCAAGAACCGCTAATTTATCATCGAAACGGGACTTTATGAGTAGAAAGTGTTACCGACCGAATGGATTAAAGGTTGGATTTTCTCTTTGAGGACGAATTGGAATCCAAAAAAAAAAAATCGCAGCAGAATAAAAGGTAATCACTGCTGAAAATATAACCATGACGAATACTTGTTCTTTACGACATCTTTCTCATGGACAATAAAAAAAAATTCAAGTAAGGTATTATAACTGAATTTTTGATGCAGTACAAAAATATTTTTTTCCATTTCAGTGTCTTTTGTGGCAAAAACACGTCATTGCTGAAAAGTTTATTAGTTTCAGATTTTCTGCGCGGGATTTTTCTTCAGTTGGGTGGCTTGCATTTGAAACAAGTTCAGCAGATTATGAAGGAAAACATTTTTTTCAGGAAAATCCTTTTCTAAAATGGTATTTCCAACTTGAAAGTATTTGGGCATTGATGTGGCATGAAGTAATTTCTTTTCTCATTTCTGTCGGCATGTACTGAAGTAAAACTTTCATTAATTTCAGGGCAAAAAGCGAAGAAATTCGGAGAATTTTGTCTAACAGAAAAAAATCAATTTGTGACAAGTTTTAGAACATGTTGGTTTGCTCTACTGTACTGCATTGGATGTTTGTCGTTTATGTTTTTTTTATCGAGATTTTAAAATATTGAATCTTTCCAGTTTCTGCTAAGAATACGAAACATTCTTTGAACGAAAATTATTCATTAGAATGACATTTTTTATAACGGACTTTCACCCATATACCAACAATACGTAGAAGGACAATATTTATATCGTTGACGTGGTTTCAAACGATTTTTCAAAATGTTTTTCGTACGTCTTGAAAAATGGATTTTAAAATTCAGAGATTAAGAAAATGCTCTGTTGCAAATCAGCGAAATACAGAAAAAATACAACTTCGCTAGGTTTACTTGAACGAAAGTAACCGAGGGAAACCGAAAATTGTCGCGACAAGCTTTTGTATATTTTTTCTTCTGATCCTTGATCTTAACTTGAACACATTTTATTTTATTTCAATTTCCGTGCATCCGTCAAGAAATCAATAATCAACGCAGAATTCGTTGATTCCGGGAATCAAACTAATCTCATTGATCGCGATTATTTCCGAGTGCATATTCTGAATGCCAGTGAATTCCATTCAATCATCAAGATAACACACTCTGGAGGTTCAGATTAGATTGTTAGATCGAGGGGCCAAAAATATTACTCTGGAATTTATTGAACAAGCCACGGAACTTCATTACTTCGACTCAATTCTCGTTTATGCCAGCAGCGACATCTAGTGCTTCAGCACAGAATCATTTTCCTCATTTGCTCGACCGGAAAGCGCATGATTTTCTCTTGAACAAAATTTTATAAATTTTAATCTCTATGTGGCGCGAAATTCGGAATGTCTTAAAAACGCAGGAAATTTAAAAATCCGGTCCTAAAACTCACAGTACTCATCAAAGATGGATGATTGCAAGTGAAAGTACTGATATTGGAACCTCTTTTCTGCAATATTCCAGGAAAACGTGTTCATCTTCCATTTCATGCCCCAGTTTCTAATATCATCTGGTTGAATAATAAAAAAAAGTGAGCTATTCTCGTGAAAAAATTCGTAATTCAATATTCAGGTCGGAATTTCATCCCCAAGAGTACTGTGATCAATTTTTTTTTGCGATGATAGAACATTTTGGAGTACAAGAAGTGAGAAGTTTGAGACTTTATGAATGAGAAAATTGCAAAACCGAGCCTGGAAGAGCCTAGTACTGATCAACCATAACTAATTGTGGGAGAAAGTACTGATTGGAACCTCCTTTTCTAAAAATTTTCCACAAGAGACGCGTGTTTCATCCCCATGGAATGCGAAAATTTTAAATTTTTGAGCAGCATGTGGTGGAATACCGCGGGTTATTGTCGTGCAAATTCGTAATTACACACCCGGGTAATTTGAGTCTGTCGAAAATCCGTTGATTGAAAAATAAAGGAAAATCGCAATATACGAGGACAGCTGAACACCTGCAAAAATAGGTCTCACGTCCTGTACTAACAACAAGCAATGAGAGGCTTTTTGTTGGTTCACGGAAATGGTGGCTGTCGTTAAATTTTTTTGGCGCAGAAGGTCCCGAACCTCACACCTGAACGATTGAATCATTCCGTTTCTCAAATTTTAACAATTGGCCTCGTAAGTGAAGGCACAGAATCGAAAAAGATAATGATTTTGAGGATGGAATGTCTTTTTCAAGAGCTAAGTTCAATACACTGAGTCCATATCTTCCAAAAAATAAGGAGAATCAAACTTCTTTTTCGTTTTAAATAAATTTTAAATATGAAAAATCTAGTCCTCAATAGAATCGTGCAGGTTTCAATTTTAAAAATTGCGTTCATAAAAGTGTAAAAAATGGGGTTCAGGCCAACACATTTTGTTGCCTTCAATCTTACAAATTAATTGGCATTTTTTTATGATGAGATATCTGCATCATTTGAGATTATGATTCATGGAATCCAAACTCATCCAGTCCAGTAATACACCAAAAAAAAAAAGAGAAACACATTTGTTGAAATTTTGTGGCACGCATTATTCAGTACTTTATTGCCCAGAAAATAATTTGAGGGAAGTTTTATTCAATTTAGATTATAAACCTTCACGATCCAATCAAGGAATAGCTCCACATTTAAAATGGATTAGAGAATTTAAAAATATGATCCACTGTAAGTCTAATTTTTATTGAAGCACATCAGGACTATCGAACCTGGGCTCTTTGAAAAGACAATCCATCCCCCAGATTATTATTTCTCCCTCCGTGTTCATTGATTAAACCTTCGTACGATGCAGAATTACCTTTCAAAAATATATATATTTCAAGGGGAAAAACAAACTCGACACGAAAATTGTAACTCACGCGGTCTCCGTCGGTGTCGCCCCCGTCATCGGCGGCAGTATCTAGCTGCTCCTCCAGGACCCGGACCCTTTCGACAGCCGACGTTTCTCTGAGCATGCTCAGCTGGGCCTGACGTCTAGCAACGACACCTGCCGACTCTTCGGCTTCAACTTCTTCCAGGGCCTCCGCCAGGATTCGACTCAACAGTGACGGAACCAAGTCGCCATCTGCTGGCCTCAGCTGCAAATAAATAAAAAAATACAAGAAAAAAAAACATTTCAGGTTCCTCGAATCGTAAGTGACCCACCCCCGACTTCGTCTGTTAAAAATTTTTAAAACAGCAGATTTATTTCTCTCTTTGCCTCGTAAAAAAAAAATTAGCGAAGTGACAATATTCTCATCAATCATGAACAAAAAAGTATTACTCTAGTCGAATATGCTGTTGCAGCCAAAATACCGAAGCAATCCGCGTAATACAAATTTCGAATTAAAATCCGAAAATCACGGATGCATGAGAGACAAACTGTTCAAAATGGAAAGAGAAAAATAAAGCACGACTATATACATACAGTATTCTAGAAATTTTCAAAACCCTCGTTCACTTCACAAGGAAATTCTCTCTGCAAAGATGCAGCTGCAGGGAAATAGCTGATATGGCATCTGGAAATTATCCTGTAAGACTTATGTTCCCGCATGATTTAATAATTTTGTCTTCGTCTCGATCCTCACGACACACACAGTCGAGTCTGACTTTCCTCAGAACTGGCTTGAAAATACTGATAGTAATATATTCCAAGGAATGTCGATAAGGAATCAACGAAATACCGCAAATAAATTTAATTTTTTTGGCAATTTTCTGTCCATGCTCGTAATTAACAATTATAATTATTAATATAATCAATAATATCGTAAAATAATATTTTATTTTGAATTTTACAGATAATCGATTACATCATGTAAACTCGTGAAGCACTGAAGCATACATTCTTTCAAAATGGCTTTAATTTTTTTTAACCTTACTTCTCAAATAAGTGGAAAAACCTGTATTCAATTAAACGTGTACAGCATAACCTATATATGTAGAAGATAGTCATGAACCATATTTTTCAAAAAAATATTTACGAAAAAAATATTTCCATGTGATACAAATACCCAAGTTGTCTGAAGAAAATTAATTTAAAAACGTTATCCGATAAAAATACTGATTTAGTTCAGAGGAAAGCTTAGTATACAGTATTTTAATTCAAGCCTGTTTCATATTTAAATTAAATTAAATTTAGCTTTCATTGAAGCATTGCAATTATTTTTAGTTTTAGTTTTTCTAAGTATACAGCATTCTTGAGTATTTTTATTTTTAATCGGAAAATGCTTGTGGAACTTTAGGTTTATATGGTCCAAGACACTGGCTTTCAAAAAATATGAGTCGGGTATAAATTCGAATCTAAAACTCAATACTATATGGTTTTGTTTCAATATATGATCATTCAAAATCCTAATTCATGACCAAAGCATCCTTTCCCGAATGAGTAAGGCAGCAGACGCAATGTAAATTTAACTGTCAGCAGTACAGTGCAGTACTTCCGGGGAAGCGTCACATAACCGGAAACAGAATCCCTCGCCTGAGGCTGTGTTCCTGTTTCTGGCCCAACTTCCTTCCCGAATCCCAAGACTAGACTATAGACACAAGGGGATTCCCGAAAGTTCTGTCTGAATCATGTCTCTCACGAAAATCCGTCACGAAAAAATTTGATCATGAAATTCACGACGATGTCTTTGAGATTCAAATTCCTGAAAGATAATTTTCTCGCGGTCGATATTTTCAAAATATTAAATCTACCTTTTGAAGCTTTTTTGCCATCAAGATTTTCCCTGAAATATTTTTTTGCAGAGCATTATTATTATTTTTTTAATGTAGAATTGTCCTAATTGGGAATTTCCTTGGGTTTAATCCGTATTTGTCATGTTTAAAGATTGTTCAACAGCTGACTCTAACTTGAAAANATATTAAATCTACCTTTTGAAGCTTTTTTGCCATCAAGATTTTCCCTGAAATATTTTTTTGCAGAGCATTATTATTATTTTTTTAATGTAGAATTGTCCTAATTGGGAATTTCCTTGGGTTTAATCCTTATATTCGTCATGTTTAAAGATTGTTCGACAGCTGACTCTAACTTGAAAATTCTGAAACCAGGGTTTGACAGAAAAGTTAAAAATGTATCAAATTAATTTTTGAAATTTCCCTTAATCCCTTGCAATTCCTTGCCTCAGGTTTTAACTGCTATTATAGTTGTTCGAAATAAAAGCTGGGTCAGGTCACAGCAGAAAAATCATACCCAGGCACATTATTTGCGAGACTACACGCATTGAATACTTGAAAAAATTAATAAATAGGAATGAAAAATATCTGCGTAAAAAAAAATTTAATGAATCGCCCCAGGAAAAAGTCTCCATCAGTACCCCGGACTCCCCGGAAAGGAAACCAGACGCCGCATCTCGCTTTTGGGCAACTGTGCCGCTTGTGTCGAGGGTGACGATTAATGTTTACGTCTGCCTCGACGTCGACGACTTGCGACAGCAGACCGAGGAACGAAACCTGGATGAATAATCTTAACAGCAGTAATAATAATAATAATAATAGAAGGAGTAGTAAAAAGATGTTCGGCTCTTTCTGGGGTTCTCGAATTCAAGGACTCGGGAGATTTATTCCGTCTGCGATAGCAATGTCTTTTATAGTTCAAGCCGAATTACTGCAGACTTCAGACATTGCCCAACCTTCAAGCATATGATTCCCTGTGAATTTCGAGTTGATCAGAAATTATAAAAAAAGGTTATTGCGCAATTTTGGAATTTTCATTTTAGCACCTAACTTTCATTCAAATCAATGCACGAATTTTGCACGATTTTTCTTTTTCAACATTCGATTTTAAAATGAGGATTTTTTTGGAAGACACGAAAATACTAACGAAGAAAAACAATCGTTTATTCATGAAAATAAAATTATGACAGACCTCGTAAAAATGCTGATATGAGCATTCTGCAATATTCAAAATGTATTTGGCGTAAACTACGTCAGGTAAACGCTTGATACATTAAAACATCAGTTTTAGATTCAGATCATCTCGGATAATAAATGTTTTCCAAAACTTTTCACCTATTTCAGATTATCGAAAACATATCATATTGTCAATTTAAAAAAACTTACTTATCTATTTTTTTAAATACTGCCAATCAACCGGTGTTTTCTAGGAACAGCAAAAAAAAGCGACCACATTCACGGTGGCCTTAATACCGGAAACCTCAAGGCAAAATTAAAAATATTAACGTTCTTTGAAATGGTACTTGCATAAATATTCATTCAGTACTTGATGTAGCTTCACTCTCTCTCTCTCTTCATCAGCAGTAGTGATTGATACAACATGTTTTATATACCAACAAGGTTCCGATCTTACGTAGGCATTAATGTTTCTGACGAGATCCGAGTTTTATAAGTTTACTACATGCTCACTTATTTAAAGCTGTGTAAGCGCTTTGCGTAAAAAGACGACTACTTATGATGGAAAGATTCCCTGGAAGAGATAGGAATTATTTTTCAAGGTATATATAGAATGCAATTTCGCATTTATCATATCTGAAGAATCACGTCGACAGATAAAAAATCTTGCATTCCGATGCATGAAATGGAATCCATTCCAGGAAGATGTGCTGTTTATACAGAGGAATGAACAGCAATATTAATTCGGTATCATGCTTTGCAATTTGGCACAAGCACACCATCGAAATATAAAAGTAATTTCCAGCAGGCAAGCAAACGTGGACAAAGAAAGAAATAATTGTGAATTGAGCTACCGAACGGGATGGCTCATATTTTTGCACTGGTCAAATTTGCATGAAGAATTTCCTCGCAATCCAGTATATTTTTCATGGAATAAACAAAAATGATGCAAGTCTATTTCAAAAGCTAATTTTCCTCGCTGGGAAGGATTGAATATGCGAACAACTGGAAGGAAGGAAGTGAAATATCCTGGAAATGGAATTCAAAATAAAATCCGCGTTACACAATGCAGTTTTGATCTCACAATGGAATGAGTCAGACGCAGTCCATGAATAAAAACAGCTCATCTCGGCAGAACTGCTGAAAATAATGCCTTCCTTTTTTTTGTTACACGAAAGAATAAATTTCCTGAGGCATCAATCCAGCGGGTTTTTTCCATTGTCTTTTCCTCGGGACGAAGAAGTTACTCAACCGGGCTTTTTTTGGTACATAAAAGAGGCAAAAATGTCCTCGCAAAATCGTGACTCCACAATCATGCCAACGTGAACCACGAAAAAAAAAAAAAAAACAATCACATACCAGCAAGACCATTTGTGTTCCTCTGAAAAACGAATTCTGTATCAGAACATTCAAAATTTACCCCAGGAAAATAAATTCGCGGTTAAAAAGAATTCAAGCTCAAAATATAAACCGAATAACTTGCGAATTGCGCATTAAAATAACGGGTAAAAATCGAGCGGTAATTTTTTTAAATTTCGGAAAATTCAATTATTCGCAATGTTTGCATTTCACAAAAAATGACCAAACAATTCGCTAAAATTATTTTACTTGAATCACTTCGAAAATATGCTCAAAAATCTATCATTCCCACAAAATATTCCTAAAATTCCTCAGACCATGATATTATAAAAATGATTTTCGAGAGTTTCTTCATAAGCTATCATCATTATAATACTTTCAGTTTTCTTTGTTTTTTGATGAACTAAAAGTATGGAATACCTTAAAACAAGTTATTTATTATTCCCAGACCAATTTTCTGAAGTTGATCTGGCAGGTTTATTGCAATTGAAAAAATTCTTCAATGTTTTCTTATTATTGAGGAATATTGGAATTTCTAATAAAATTATGAATATAAATTTTCAACGTCTCACCTAAAATTAAGAAAATCCTTCTGTAAATCGGTTGAATTTTCTCTCGATTTTTTTTATGGATCCCAGGCGTACGAACCCGAGAAAACTTCGTTTCGTCCAGGTTTGCATTATAACTTTCGAGCGATATCTTGTAAATGACTACTGTATAAACATCGCTCCTTAAACCAGAATTTATTCCCATGAGAAGAGGCAGGGCTTTTATTCTACTTTAGAAACTGAGCCCGAAACTTGCCTTATTTAAAAATACATAAAAAATAAAATCTTTCATGCGTTATACAACAAGATTGTCCGAGACTAGATCCACGGCAGAAATTCCC